TGAGTGGGGTATTCATGCTTCACTGCGGCATGGTATCTCAGTGGGCTAGCACTATAAAACCAGCTTCAGTCTGGGCTAGTACAAGCAGCCGCACATACACATACACACGCATGCACGTCGTCATATGAGCGAAATATTCTCAAGCACGACGTTAAACCCAATTTCACCTCACCTCATTTTGTTAGTAGCTGGCGCAAGTTGACCGTGGCTACACCATAAAGAAAACCAAGTCTTGTTAGGTAATTACCTTCTTACCACCTACCTCTTGTGGTAAACATTGTCAGCTTAGGGTACATAATGCATCTGGAACTGTTACTTTAGACACATTTCTACGAGATATTGAATCAGTTTTCGAAATACCTACCATTGTAAATTCTAGTTCAAGATGACCGATTAATTCGTATATATACATTTAAACCAGCATAGTTTAAGCATGCAACTGATGTCTTCATTAGCTCTTTTTTAGCTTCGTAGTTTTAAAAAATATGCATATTCAATGACAACAGCGCTATCCTAGTGCATTATTACATAGTCATTTAACCAAGTTATTGTCTTGTTTTATAAAGCACAAATATGTACATTACGACATCTTTTATGTATAGCATTATGTATGTATGGAAATTGCACGTTGCCAATAGCAACATCATCATTCGAAACACATTTACCGTAGTCACCCCAATAATCCAGGATGAAACAAGGTAGTAGTACTCTAACTAAAACTATATCTTCTGTCACCATAGTTACATACCTTTATATCACTCTCTAATACCACCTACCATATCTACCAAATTTTTTGTTTTGAGAAAATAAATGTTAACATTGACAACAGCGCTGTCCTAGTACATTATTCCATAGTCATTTACCTACCGTATTGTCTTGTTTTGTATCGCACAAAAATGTATAGTCCGAAATCTTTTAAGTATAGCATTACAGTATTACATGTATTCTACCTTAGTTGCTTAACTCTGTATATATCAAAATTGCACGTTGAACGAATGCCTCACTGCGAAATGCACCTCGATGCCTCCTGTTTCGTGTTTTCCATGCCAGTAACAGTTCTTGCGATCAGCTACGATACAACTCCTGGACACACTGGAAAAACTTAATTTGACAATCTGCAAACTATGAATGATGCTTTCATAAAAGCTATCAAGAAATTATAGATGCTATTAGTGGCATACAAAGTGGTAAAGCACCTGGGTTTAGTGGTATTACTATTGAACTCTTCAAGAGTGCACCTGGGGTGTGCATTTATAGGTTAAAATAATTATTTAATAGAGTTCTGTTTACAGGTATTTATCCTCCTGAATGGACCTATGGAGTATTTATTCCTATCTTAAAGAAGGGCAGTGTTAATGGTCCAGCCAACTATAGGCCGATAACCTTACTTGAAGTGTCCGGTAAAATATTTTCCAATATCATAAGTAACAGATTGAGTCTTTGGGCTGAGCGGCCTGAATTGCTCATCCCAGAACAGACAGGCTTCAGACATGGATTCCAAACCCACGATAATATATTTACACTTAACTCTATCATTCAGAGGTACCTCTCTCTGCATAAAGGGAGACTATACTGTGCTTTTATTAACCTGAAAGCTGCATTTGATTCAGTTGATAGGAATAGCCTTTTTATAAGCTGTAGATAGGAAACGTTTAAGGCAAAACATTTACATTGCCTAGAACCATGTATGATTGTGTTAAGTCATGTATTTCCATGAATGATAGTTATACAGCCTTCTTCGATTGTTCTCATGGCGTCCATCAAGCATGCCAACTAGGTCCTTTTCTATTTTCATTCTTCGTGAATGATATTGTTGAAAGCCTAGCATCAGATAATCAGAGAATGTATCAGTCTGGAAGTTGTTGAACTATTGATACTTCTCTTTGTCGACGATATTGTACTTTTTGATTTTTCAGTCTGTGGTTTACCAAAGCTATTAAATAATTTAGTTACATATCGTGGCAAATAGAAACTAAAAATTAATGTAACCAAGAGTAAGATAATTGTGTCTAGAAAAGGTGGCAGATTAAAGAAATGTGAAAAGTTCTTCTTAATAATAACACCTTAGAAATTGTCCCATCATACTAGTATCTTGAGGTTCATCTGTCAAGCTCAGGCTCATGGTATATCACTCAAAACGTTTTGTCCGAACAGGCATGGAAAGTTCTGTCTATGCTTAGATCCTCAATATCTAACTTTCTAACCTACCTATACATGTCTTGTTTCAAATATTTGATGTGAAAATTCTACAAATTACGCTATAAGGCAATGAAGTATGGGGCTTTCACACATCACCTAACGTTATGAACATTCATGACAAATTTTGTAAACAAGTTCATTGTCTTCCAAGAAATACCCAAAATATATTTGCCCATGGAACTTGGTAGACACTCATTAAAAGTAAATATATATTGTAAAATTATTAAATATTGGACTAGATTGATCTCTCAAGTTGATTATGTCATCTTGAAGAAGGTTTATGAATATCAACATAGCCTTGCAGAGAAAGGATGTTCAATGTTGGGCATTGAATGTGAAAAGTATATTAAACCGTTATGGATTTGGAAATGTTTGGTTTTACCAGAATGTGGGAAATATCACTGTTTTCATGTCTCTATTCAAACAATGATGCATCAACCAGGATAACTAGTCATGGAAGGATGATCTTTTGTGCTTTTCAAAACTCGACTTTCTACATAATATTAAAGATAATGTCTCTTATGAGTTTTACATCAGCCAAATCAAGTCTAAAGTATCTCGTATTGCAGTAAGTAGTAAGTAAATTCCGAAGCTCCAGTCATATGTTGATGACTGATTATGGTAGACGCCTTGGTCTTGAGCGAAGTGATCGCTTGAGTCCTTGTTGTATCATTCCAACTGCTAAACATTAATATCATTTCTGCCTTGAGTGTCCATTTTACAATGATCTTAGACAAAATACAATTAAAAAACATTATGTTATTGTCCCATCACATGAGAAGCTGTTTCATCTGTTCATGTCAAAGAATAAAATTGTCATTAATGATCTTGGAAAATATTTATATCTTGCTCTTAAAAAACTTAATACATTTTTTGCAATTGTAATATCTATATGTCCTGATGTGTATCCTCCTCCGTAGCATCCATGTTAATGATTTTATTTGCGCTTGTTAAACTATGCTCATGGCATAACATCATGTATAATGGGCCTGCGACCCCTTTACTGAAATATACTCCTCTCTCTCAGTAGCAACATCATCATTCAAAATACATTTACCGTAGTCCCCCAAATAATCCATAATATGAAACAAGGTTGTAGTACTCTAACTCAATCTATATCTTGTCATGGGAGTTACATACATTTATATCACTCTCTAATGCAACCTGCCGTATCTACGGAAACGTTTGTATTGAGAAAATAAAGCTAACATAAAAGTTAGAATGCATACCAGAGTTAAATGGCATATGTACACTCTGAGCACTTTGCACCTTTTACCGTATTTGATCAATGCATGTACTTTGATAGCTGAAAGTTACTCACATGAGTCGTATATCCTTTCCGTAGTTAATGCATTAAGCGTGACATACATATGGCAACACATGTCCTTTCTATTCAATTGGAAATGTACAGGAACGGTTGATCTACAGATAAGTCATTGCTTATGATATTCCTCCGATGCATGATAATGCACAGTCGAAGTAAACTTAGGCTTAGTATTATTCGTTACACTGCTATACTGAGTCTAACAAAACCTAGTGGAAGGTTGCGTCAGCTAAGCTTTTGGACTGACCAATCCAAACACAGCTTACCAAATCGCGAAAGTTAACATTTGCACATACCGTTTGAACCTTTACCTAAAAACTCGAACGATTCCGAATGCTATTTTCCACACGATCACTTCCAAGTGATATACGCAATGAGTAAACAGTCGCTGAAAATAGCGTTTTTGTCAATATTCAAGGATGTCTTCTAGCGAAAATATAAGCAAATAGTAACCATGTCATAAGAAACCCGTAAGCGTATTTACTGCAGGTCAAATATCTGTGTTTTATGCGGATTTTCGTTTTTGATAGATCAGTGTCATCGGCCAAGGAAGACAAAATCCAAAAACCATTTTTAAGTCCCGCTGAACCCTAACAAGTAGTCGTTATCTGATTGGTTAAATCCGTTCGGCCATCTCACGTTTGATTGGACAGTCATAGGTCGCTCAAAGGTTAGCTAAAGCGCCCTTCTACTAGGTTTTGTTAGACTCAGTGTAGCAGTGTAATGAATAATACTGAGCCTAAATTTACTAAGACTGGATAATGCAATGTTTATGTCTTCATTACATACAGGATGTAATTAACTCACATTTCATACTGACAACTTCGTAAATTCTGTTATATTCCAAGTGGCAATTTCTGGCTCTGGAAAATGAGAAGGCTGTGGCGAATAAGAGTAGTCCCCCATTGATAGTGAAGGTAACCTCAGCAATGTCCCATTCAAGCACTCTGGTTACACCTAATTACGCACACTTAATAGTCAGGGATGAGAATTTTCCGCGGAATTCTGGGAATTCCTTCAGAATGTGCTTCAGCAAATTTATAGTTTTTTAATGGTTGCTGTGTTCATGATATTGTCATTTCTGAGCCAGTTTTAAAGATCTAAAATGCCTAAATATCAGGAGCCTCGGGGGCCTTCGCCCCCCTTGTCGCCTCACTGGGTGCCTCCCTAGACCCGGCTGATTTTCAGACCCCGACTAGTTTTCAGAGTTTTTCTCAAAGTTTCATTCCTGTCCCTGAATAGTTTTGGCTCTGGCCAATAGGAGAACATTGAATATAAACTGGTAGACAAGTACAGCTCCCCGATGTACAGAGATATCCAAAACAATCTTCCAATGATGACAACCACCAACTTTAAGTCATCCACATTTACATGGTAACAACATCATTTTGAGCGTTTAAATAATTTTCTGTGATGTTATCTAGTTTTCATTATCACTGTTACCTTGATGACGCGAAGATGTGGCAGAAACTTTTTAGTGGAGGGTCACCATGGGGATGAGTAGTGATTAAGAAGCCAAGTGACGTCACTCTTTCATAAACATTGTGGTGTGTATTATTGCACAGCTACGGTGAGAAACATATAAAATTTGAATCTATTTGACCATAAAATGGAATGATTTTATGGGGTGTAAGAAACAGATTACTGTACTCATGTCTGTCAGATACCATTTATCTTATGAGTTGTCTCAAAACGTATTTAATGACCTTATTTTGAAGGTCACCACAATGCTTTGATCACTTTTCAAACTCTTCTTAACGCGATATCTCATGAACAGTTGTACCCAATATCTTCAAATTTGGTGGGGCGGTGGGGTAGTATAGTGGTTAAAGCATTGGCTCGTCACGCTGAAGACCGGGTTCGAATCCCCACATGGGTACAATGTGTGAAGCCCATTTCTGGTGTCCCCCGCCGTGATGTTGCTGGAATATTGCTAAAAGCGGCATAAAACCAAACTCAGTCAGTCAGTCAGTCTTCAAATTTGGTGACAGCCTACACTGGGAGATTACACAGACACCAGTCGATTTTGGTAGCTTTGACCTTATCTTCAAGGTCACCACGACACTTTTACAACTTTTCAAACTCTTCCAAATGCAGTTTGTCATGGACTGATGTATCCAATGTCTTCAAACCCATGAAGATCCGGGGTAGAATAGGTCTTCAGCAACCCATGCTTGCCACAAAAGGCAACTATGCTTGTCGTAAGAGGCGACTAACAGGATCGGGTGGTCAGGCTCGCTGACTTGGTTGACACATGTCATCGGTTCCCAGTTGCACAGATCGATGCTCATGCTGTTGATCACTGGATGGTCTGGTCCAGACTCGATTATTTACAGCAGGAATTTTGCTGAGTGCAGCGTAAAACTAAACTCACTCCAATGTCTTCAAATTTTGTGACAGCCTACACTGGGGGATTACGCAGATATGGGTGCCCTTGAGATTTCATTGACCACTTTTCAAACTTATGTAAACATTGCACCCAATAAAATCTCATAGAACATTGCACCCAATGTCTTCAGTTGACAACATACATTGGGTGATCATGAAGACACCAATCACTTCAGGCATCTTGTATGTGACCAAAAAAGAAAGAGTAGTAAATATGTTATAAATATTTCATTCTTCTTTAGCGGCGGGGAATATTGCCATATTAGTGGCAAACACTTGTTTGTTTTGTTTTAACAGAATAATGAACTAGTTATAGCCCGCAAATATGTAACGTCAGTAAAAGTTTGGATATTAAACAGCTGAATACAATTCATTGTGAGACTATAGGGAGGATAATTGTACATCCCGACATTGGCATTTTCCATACTGAATGTTGAAAATCATTTCGCTAAGTTGTATTATTGTGTTGTGTGTGGGAAGACATTTTTACAGTGTCAGCTTTATTATCATGCTATGTGTCATGCCATCATATTGTGTATGGTCTCTACCCCAGATGTTATAAGAGTGTGACAGTGTTTCTTATGTTTTCAGCAAACACCATAAGATCCACAGATTAATGATGGAAGTTGAAATCCTCAGAATCCTTTCCCTGTCACTGAAACAAATGGAATCTGTTGAAGCGGTTTGCTGAAGAGATCTCAAGAAATATTTTTTATTGACACCTTGGAAATAGGTGATCTCAAGAGAGAACCTGTACTTGGAACCTTGGAAACAGGTGATTATTTGAACCTGTTATTGGAACCCTTGAAATAGGTCATCTCATGAAAGAACCCGTTAATGGAACCCTGGCATATAGTGGCAACAGATGGTTTGGAGTGATCCAACAAAGCAGTCTCAAATACATGTTGTGATAGCTCGGGAACATATTCTAAATCGCGTGTGGGGCGGTGGGATAGCCGAGTGGTTAACGCTTTCACTCATCACGCCAAAAATTCCCCATGTGGGCACAATGTGTGAAGCCTATTTCTGGTGTCGCTCACCGTGATATTGCTGGGATATTGCTAAAAGTGGCGTAAAACGATATTCACTCACTCACTCTAAATCGGGTGACTTGGAAAGGGACATGCTCTGTAGTGGAATCAAGACTTATGAGTGTGCTGAATGTCAGAAAACATTCACACTGTCAGATAATCTTCAGTCACACATGAAGATTCCTAGTGGAATCAAGCCTCATAAGTGCTTGTGTGTGAAAAAACATTGCGTAATCTGTTCATCTGCAGGTACATATGAGGATTCACAGTGAAATCAAGCCTTATAATTGTTGAATGTGGGAAAGAATTTACACAATCAAGTAGTCTGCAGACACACATTATGATTCACAGTGGAATCAAACTTTATGAATGTGTGTAAATGTTTTCCCAAATTTACACAATCAAGTAATCTACAGACAAATGAGGATTTACAGTGGAATCAAACCTCATCAGTGCGTTGTGTATGAGAAAACATTTACACTATCAAGTGAACTTCAGAGACACATGATGATTCACACAGGAATGAAGCCTTTTGAATGTGTTGAATGTGGGAAAACATTTACACAATCAAGTAGTCTGCAGAGACACGTGAGGATTCACAGTGGAATCAAACCTTATGAATGTGGTGAATGTGGGAAACAGTTTACACAATCTGGTAATCTGCAGGCACACATGAGGATTCACAGTGGAATCAAACCTTATGAATGTGTTGTATGTGGGAAAAGATTTACACAATCAACTAAATTGCAGACACACATGAGGATCCACAGTGGAATCAAGCCTCATGAATGTGTTGAATGTGGGAAACAATTTACACAATCAACTAATTTGCACGCACACATGAGGATTCACAGTGGAATCAAGCCTCATGAATGTGTTGAATGTGGGAAACAATTTACACAATCTAGCAATCTGCAGGCACACATGAGGATTCACAGTGGAATCAAGCCTCATGAATGTGTTGAATGTGGGAAAAAATTTGCGCAGTCGGCTAAACTGCAGAGACACATGAGGATTCACAGTGGAATCAAGCCTTATGAATGTGTTGAATGTGGAAAAAAATTTACACATGGAAGTACTCTTCAGAAACACATGAAGATTCACAGTGGAATCAAACCTCATCAGTGCATTGTGTGTGAGAAAACATTTACACAATCAGATCATCTGCAGAGACACATGAGGATTCACAGTGGAATCTACCCTTGTGAATGAGATGAATGTGGTAAAATATTTACGTATTCCAATATTCTGCAGGCACACATGAAGAGTCACAGTGGAATCAAACCTCATCAGTGCAATGTGTGAGAACACATTTGCACAATCATTTCATCTGGAGGTACACATGAGGATTCACAGTGGAATCAAGCCTTAAGAAAGTGTTGAATGTTGGACAGAATTTACAAAGTGATGTCATCTTCAGAAACACATTAGGATTCACAGTGGAATCAAGCAGTGAAGACTTATATTAAATTATCACTGTTTGGTTTGGGAGAGGACACCCTGCAGAAACACGTAAGGAATGAAAGTGGAATCCCATCTTATCAATGTGTTGAATGTGGGAAAACATTTGCACTGTCAGATACTCTTGGCCAGTAAACACTTCAGAGGATTCGCTGTAGAATCAACTGGTTGTTGGGTTTTAGTGTTATGTATATAATACAGTGCATATATATTTCGTCGTACACTTCCATATTCCCATCCCAAAAGTGCACGTTTTATCACCAAGTAATTCGTAATCAAAAATGAACTTTTGTTGAACAAGACGAGATTACCATCATACCATCCTCTTTTTCCTGTCGTAAATGCCATGGTCAAGCGCTGACAGATGTAATGTTAGCTCATGGCGCAAGTTGACCGTGGCTACATTAAATAGAAAATCAAGTACATATGAATATTTCTTTTTAATGTTTCGACACACATGTATATCCCCTGTAGTAGTATAGGAAATGACAGTTCTATTACAGGTACTCCTGAGCGTTATATCTGGCAAATTCAGCTCCTGGCGGTGGGTTGAAAAAGGGTGGGGTGGTGTGACTCAGGGACATCCCATGGGTCCCTTCTTTTTCATGTTTATTATCATTTTTTAATAATCGTAATAGCTTGAGACTATGTTAATAATTGTTATGGATGGGGTCTAACATGAACCAATCAAAGTCGGCTATGGAGTAGGTTCCTTATGGGGCAGAGCGGTCGTTGAACTTGAGGCTATGATCGACTAAAGCATCCATTAGAAGTTCTAACTGTTCGGTACCCACCTGACCTAAACTATTGTACAGAGTAGTCAATTAACCTCAACGAATTGCTTGGTGTAAAGCTGAATAAATATCGATCCCTTTGACGTCCACCTGATGGGAGCAAGAAATAACGCTCTCGGGGTTATCAGTAATAGAACTGTCATTTCCTACACTACTTCAGTCTTTGTCTAGTTTTATTCATTTTCCGTGTTTGATCTGTATATGCAGGTTAGATTCTCGTTCAGTAGCCTAGATTTCAGGAGCTTAGCCACAAAATCAGTTCCGAGAATTTATACAATTATTTTGAGCAATGGTAGGTAGTTGTAGGTAGGTCAATTATTTCGTATTTACAAATACGATAGACCTCCGATCAAATAAAATTCGAGTAGAATTACCTCAGATACGCGCCCACTGAATAGATTTAAAAAAAACAACATTTGTATTTTGGTATTTCACCAACATGAATAAGTATTTGAATAATGATATGAAATGTCCAATTTCCCGTGCAGTTGTATACCGTACAGAAGAGTTTATGTGCGAATCACATTACTGTAATCATTACAAAATGGTATTGTCTTCTCCCCATATTACCCATAAATATACATTAAAACCCGCATAGTTTAAGCATGCAATTGCTGTCTTCATTTGCTCATATTTAGCTCCAAAATTTTCAGAAATACGACAATGACAACAGCGCTGTCCTAGTGCATTATTACATAGTCATTTAACTATGTTATTGTCTTGTTTTATAAAGCACAATAATGTACATTCCGACATCTTTTAAGTATAGCATGACAGTATTACATAATCTACCTTAGTTGCTTAACTCCGTATATATGGAAATTGCCAATAGCAACATCATCATTCGAAACACATTTACCGTAGTCACCCAAATAATCCAGGATGAAACAAGGTAGTAGTACTCTAACTAAAACTATATCTTCTGTCACCGTAGTTACATAACTTTATATCACTGTCTAATACCATCTACCGAAAGTTTTGTATTGAGAAAATAAATGTTAACATTGCAGTTAAAATGCGTACCAGAGTCAAATATAATATGTCCAATCTGAGCACTTCGCACTGTTTACTGCATTTGGTCAATATAAACAAAGTATATAACTGGAGAACAGGATGTTTTATAATAGTTATTTTTCCCATGACTTTCTTTCCATGACTTTTTTCCTATGACTCTTTTCCGAACACCCTTCTAGATGGCTTCTTGTACGCCGAGAACAAGGTGAAAGTAGAAAATGATGATGTTCAAGTGACTTCTCATAAGTGTTATCTGTGCACTGACAAACATGTGATGTAAAATAATATGGTGCTTGGTCTCATGTTTGATAGGTACATGTATATAAATTATTGTTTTTGATAATATTCACAAGTAAATGTGACAGGGCAAATATATGTTGATGTACATATATTTTGATGCAATATGTCATAATTTAAAAACATAATTGATTACATGCATTGATAAAACTATAGTTAATACCTAATGTTGTCTTTTTTGTCTGGGCACATACCAGTTAAGTCTTATGCAACCAACTATAAAATGTGTTGTTTTAAGCGGTCTGTCTTTTGGAAGGTGTGTCTTATGGGGAGATACCAGGTACTACATAGCATAATTGGTATAAACCCTTACTGTAATTAAGGCATTAGGTACGACATACCATAATAGTCATAAATCCTTACCCTCAGCAACGCATTAGGCTTGATATACCGTAATAGTCATAAATCCTTACAGTAGTTAACAAACTAGGCACACCATGCCGTAATTGAATTGTCAGGCACTTCACTCCGTACTTGTCCGCTGAAATTGTTGTTGATGATTATTTTATCTGTGTGGTTATGTTACTTATCAGTACCGTAAGGGGTGGGTATTGCAGAGAATTTTCATATTGCGATATGTATTGCAATATATTGCAAGGATTATTTTTTTTTAACAAAAACTACTTATAATCGAGTTAATGCTTGATTATAAAGCAAAAACACAACAAAATCACTATGAAGATTAACCTTTTATAAAAACGTTTAATCATGACAAAATAAAAATGTAAGTAACATTTGGCACTAATGAAACAGGGAAAAGAACAATTAAAAAAACGGAAATATCCGAAGATTTTCGAGTGTTACGAAGTTTTCCGAATGCATGTCAAAATACCAGTTTTTGATCAGTATAACGCAATACGTATCGTTTTCATGTCTGAACCGGTAAACTGGTTATATTGCGCAGCCCTACGTAGTTATTCAAGGAAATTGTTTGTATTATGTTTCTGGAAGCAGTTACCGTACATACTCTATTATACCACACATTGCTTATATTACCTGACTTAGATTGAAATTGTAATAGGATATCAATGTCTAATTTTGTATGTCATGACATTATGTATGAATTGATGCATTTGGAATGAAGTGTTAGACACATACTTGAATAAACTCATGGAACTCACAGCTCTCTCTCCTTTCTTGTTTCAAGTCATGCTTCTGATAGCTAATTCTCCAAATTGAGGCCTGACAGCACCTTTAGTATACTTATCGCTAAAGGTCGTCTTAACAAAAAGCTGTCTTAATTACATTGCAAGGTTAAAGATTGATTAAAGTTCTCCAGTATTAATATAGGGTAACTTGTAGCAATTCAATGCATACTGTCCAAACTTTCATAACTTGGAGAAGGTGGAACACAACAAATATCTGCTAAGACAGACATTTTTAATGAGTGTCGCACTGCCATTGTACCTTTCCATTTTATTGAGTGAGCTTTGTTTTACTCCACTTTTGGCAATATTATAGCAATATCATGGCGGGGGACACCAGAAATATGCTTGTCACATCGTATCTATGTAGGGAATTGAACTTGGGTCTTCTACCCCACCGCTACAATTGCCTATAGTATGAATATAACATCTAATGAGATGCGTAATCATTACCATGGTTCCTTTATTTATTCTTAAGCATTTAATCAAAGGTTAATTCTTTTTCATATATTCCTCCTTGGGGTACATATAAGCATTTAAATGTCCATTCCAAATCCCTACGTCAGTTGTAACAATATTTGAATAAAATATTTACAAAACAAAAAACTATGTTTTGTCTTGTGAGACCACCCCTACAGGGCCCAAGGGACCCCTACAACCAAGAGCAGGTAACTCTAGACTTTAACCTTGTACCTCACTTTCCATGCTTTCATTCTATCGACCTGACCTGTGTCCTTCAACAAGAGTTGAGTTGAATTCCCTTTATCAAAAGTGGTTCGGAAACAGCTACTGTATGTATGGTTCTCTTTTCTTCCCTGCATGGGCGATTTAGAGATTGTTTCTGAATTTTTCTTACATCTTTTGTTGTAACTTTGTTTCCCGCGTCCGTCGGCATGTCATGGGCTTGTCAAGATGACGGACAGGAACCTTTGCTATGCTCACTTTTTCGTTGCCTTCCTTTAGGGTTTTCAATGCTTAGTGTGGTTATAGTGTATTTATGTGTATGTTTGTGTGTAATTGCGCTTACGTTTAGCAGGTTAGGGTGTTTTTCCGCTGCTAGCATTTTATATAGATACACCGATAGTCGTATTTTATAAGTCATGTTGCAGTGGCTGCAGCCTGTTATTATCTGCTATTATTCATTTGGGTGCTTTCATTATCTTTCATGAGTGTGTTAGTTATATAATGTTTAGCATTAGTTGCTTGTTTCGCCCATGCATGTTTTTATCCGACGCCGCGCGTTTAGCATGAAGCGGGGGATATAGTTAGTATTAGGCTCCGTCCGTACGTACGAATTGGAATATCTTAAAAACCGATGACTAGATTCTTTTCATATTTGGTACCTAGCTTCATCACAGTATAAGAAAGGCCCAAGTCAGGTTTGGTGACCTTGACCTTCATTTCAAGGTCACAAGGGGACTTTAATGTTTTACCTGCATGTTAAGCTATCTCAAGAACCGTTCACTGGATTTTCTTCATAGTTGACACCAAGCTTCATCTAGGGAAGGCGCAGGGCACAGTTGAGTTTGGTGACCTTCACTTTATTGTCAAGGTCACAGAGACACTTTGAAGATTTCAGCATATTAAATTGCATGTTATGCTTGTCAGCGAGATACCTCAAGAACCTTTCACTGGAGTGTCTTCGTATTTGACACCAAGCTTCATCCAGGGAAGGAGGAGGGCCCTGTCGATTTTGGTGACCTTCACTTTATTTTCAAGGTCACAGAGACACTTTGAAGATTTCAGCATGTTAAATTGCATGTTAAGATAGTCAGCAAGATATCGCCAAAAATGTTCACTCGATTGTCCCTGCGGCAAGCCCGTGAGCGTATCGCGGAAGTGCTGTGCCAGGTGGCTGTACCACTACAGGCGCCCAATCATGCGGAGTTTTGGCTCCCAGGGGAGGCATTTGCACCAAGCTTGGTTGCCAAGGCGAGGCTTCGCATTTTGCCATCACTGGTAAGCAAGGTAGTCAATCCTCTTCTGACTGGTTCCTGTTCGCGTTTCGATCTGTTAGATGCTGGCAAATGGTACCAGTTAGGGGAGCAGGCCCTATTCAAGCCTCCAGTGGTGGACGAGTGCGTGTACGCCTCCATCACACTTGTTGGGTCATCCTCTTCCTCACTGGCTTCGGCCAGGCAGGGCAGGTGGCTTCCACCTTTTCAGGCCAATGCCCCCATGCTTAAGTCTGCATACCGTCCCTTTACCAGAGTGCGGCGTGGCGGTCCACTCTGCCTTTCTGTCAGCTTTGCAGGGGCAGTAGTGCGGGAGGCGGCGGTGGCAATGTCTACCTTCAAGGATTCTAAACCCTTGTTGGAGCACCCCTCCACTTCTCACCAGCAGCCTTCGCCTTTTAGCTCCTCTTATCCTTCCGCCCCGGTGAAGGAGCCTGCCAAATGGACTGTTCCATTGCAGAGCAAGAGGGCACGAGGCAAGGGCAGGCCTGCTCAGTCGCAGCAGCCTTTTCGGAGCAAGGGGAAGCCAGCCCCAGCTTCCCGTTGAGTCTCTCCCCCGTGCCCTTACTGCCTCAGGCACAAGCAAGCAGAGTACATTTCTTTATGCCAAACGTCCCTGTAGGCGTCCGGCTGTCACTATTCCTTCGGAAGGAAGCAGCCACATCAAATCCCTGGGTCCTGTCCAAACTTAGGGATGGTCATTTGCCACAGTGGAGGTGAGATCCACCATCCCTCTCCGGGATTCGGCAAACGCCAGTGCCAGCCTCCAGAGAGAAGGCGGACGTTCTCCATGCCAAGGTTCAGTCTCTCCTGGACAAGGCAGCCATCGAGGTGGTTCCGGAAGGTCAGCAAGGAGAGTGGATTTATTCCACTTACTTCCTAATCACCAAGAAGGACGGAGGGTTCAGACCCATTCTGAATCTCAGAGGACTGAACAAGCTAATAGAGGTGCTGTCTTCGAGAATGGAGACACTGCGCTCAGTGATCTCATCCGTTGAGACAGGGGATTGGCTCACATCAATTGATCTCAAAGACACATACCTCCATGTTCCCATGCACCCCGACTTCAAGAAGTACCTTCAATTCTCCTTCGACAGGAAGTGCTACCAGTTTCGTGTGCTCCGCTTTGGCATCTCCACGGCGCCAAAGGTGTTCACCAAACTTAAGCTGATCCCAGATCCCAGCTAGCCAGGTCACAGGGCAGGTGTTGTTACCCGTACCTGGACGACCTCACCATCCCTCTAAGTCCTGGGCGACCACTCAGTCACAGGCCTTGGGTCGGAGCAGGAAGTCAGCTTGCACATCAATGTGCTAGAATTGAGAGCAGTCTGCCGGGTGTGCGAAAGCTTTGTGGAGTTTGTTTGCGGCCGTGTGGTGAATCTAGAGATGGACAACCAGACGGCTATGACTTACATCCTGAAGCAAGGCGGCACAGTGTCTCCGTCACTCCTGCAGGAGGCATGGCAGTTTCTACTGTGGTGCGACCAGCTCGACTTCTTGTGCTCCTGGCACCGCTTCTGGTCGGCTCAAAGCTGGTTTCTGGTAATCCTCAGGTTTCTGGCTCAGCCTCCTGTACTATTACCTTTTCGACTGGACCTACTATCCCAGAACGGAGCGCCCCGCCCGAATACCAGGATTCAGTGGGTGGCTTGGCCGCTGTCAAGAATTGCCTACAAGCGAGAGGAATTCCTGCACCACTTGCAGACACAATTCTGGCTTCGCAGAGGAATTCGACAAACTTCAATATGAGGATAGATGGGCCTGTTATGCGTGCTGGTGTGTCAGCAGGGTGATCCTGATCCCTTTTCTGCAGATTTAGTCTCAGTGTTAGAATTCCTCCTCGATCCCAATGCGAACGTTCTGCTGACTTTGTAACCCGCACCACTTTGTAGTGCTAGCCCATCTTTTTAAGGTGTTTGAGCCTGCTCCACCCTTGTCACATGACCAGAGACAATCCCTCTGATTCGTTTAAAGTTACATCATTCGATTGTGTCATGTCGTGCGTCGTGATCGGAAATACTCCTCGGTTGACATCCGTTTAATTACTACTTTAAGAGTCTTTTCTGTTCTGTTACTGACAGTTATCATGTTTTCTATCCTTTAATTTATTACCAAGCAGTAATAGCATTGATTCTATGACGAAATAACCGTTTACAGTGGACTCTGTCAATACCGCATCTGTAAACACCGCACTCTGTCTACATCGGCACAAAGTTTCAGTCCCGGCAGAAATGCACGTAATTATCATTTAGAAACATCTGTAAACATCGGCATCTGTCTATTCAGGATATCGGCATTGTTTTTCAGTCCCAACGAACAAGTTGTTATGAAAATGAATCTGTAAAAACCGGCACATGAAAGACGGCGTAACCCTTTGATGAGATTAGGTCCAAATGATGTAACAACACAATTCGCTGTGACTCCCGAGATTATTCAGAAACGGGAAGTGTTAATCAGCATCTTGTTAATCAGTGAGTGGTACGTAACACTTACATAGAGTAATTAATACATGTAGTGGGCAGTGTGACTGTAAAAACAAGCAAGTGTTTACATTTTGTTGATTCGCGGGTATTGACTCCCGAGATTATTCAGAAACGGGAAGTGTCAATCAGTTTCTTGTTAATTAGTGAGTGGCACGTGTCACTTACATAGAGGCTTAATCGTTTGATGGCGGTATCGCTCGAAAAGCTCTGAACATCAACAATATCACTGTACTCTTGCCGAGAGTATTTTCACATTTGTAAGAAGCGATTTTATTGATAAAGATTGGTTTCTTACGACGCTTTTCACTACAGTCTGCTTATAAGGGTCGTGGATTGGTCAAAATCAGACACGTGACCTAAGCAGCCAATCATATTATGGAAATGGATACCGTCAACGAAAACTTTTAGACGAAGGTTTTTGGGTAAAATAATTCTACATGTATTCTGAACATATTAAGCAAGACATCGCTACCTATACGTAAATTATGGAACTTACTGGACATATCGTGCTAGGTTATGGCCTAAGACAAAAATGCTTCATGTATATATTTTCGCATTAAGCATCGCGGTCCGGGGCCAAGACGGAGGCGGCGAAAGCCGAGATGTAACTTGTCAGTGACTTGACTTACATTACATGATCGCACAAAAAGATGGAAATAGTAATTTTATATGTACGTTTGACAACTTTTATGAATGTTATTGTTGATTTCAATTTATTTAATGATTTCCTCGATGTTTGAAACATCGCTATTTTGCTCTTTGACAATGCTATTGTAGACCCGCTGCCGAAGCATAAACAAGAATCGTTGTTTTCAATAACATTGCGAAAAATAGTTTATAATTTTAATTCTGCCGATAATATATGATCAGTTGAAATTTAATAAGAGTTTTCAGACATTTTTATTTGAATGAATCAACATGAACGTGCATTCAGACACTGCCTTGTTTCTTATTCAAACATCTTGTTAATGCTGAACTTCCGTGTGTGCAGGCGTCATAAGCGAACCTAGCTAAACCGGCACTCTGTCAAAACCGGCATTTTTATTTGGTCCCGACTGATGCCGGTATTGACAGAGTACACTGTAAACCACAGTTCTAACGGGTACTTGAAATGCCACGATTGTCAAATGTGCAACGTGAACGGCAGTTGGCATGTTGCAAGCGGGAAGATCAGTTATTGACGTTGCAAGAGCAATGGGATGCAGCCGTCGTACTGTGTATGACTTGTGAGGTTGTCTACAACAAACTGGCACCACTTCTGATCGCCCAAGGTCGGGTCGTCCACGTGTGACGTCCACGAGCAGAAGACCGTCAAATCATCCTACGTCACCTACGTGACAGATTTCTGCCGGCTACACGAACCAGGGCTGAGATGTTTAGAGGTCGACTGTCCTCAAAGACCATTCGGAAATCGGTTGCGGCTGCCAATCTCAATTCTCGACGTCCATATCATGGGCCAATATTGACGCCGTTTAATCAGCGTCAACGTCTGCTGTGGGCCCAACGTCACCCTCAATGGACCCAGAGAGACTTGAATCGAGTCGTCTTTAGCGATGAATCCAGGTTTACCCTCAGATTCGCTGGACGGCAGGCATAGAGTCTGAATGCCCAATGTTGTGTACAGGGAAGGCGACAGATTCGAGGCGGAAGTTGCATGGTGTGGGGTGCTTTCTGTGGGAACAACCATTCCCGACTTCTGGTCATCCGTGGAAACCTCACAGCTGCTGCTTACAGCGACCAGGTGCTCACCCTGAACTCGTTTCATGGCGGCTCATGGCCCCAGGTCTACAGTTCCAGCATGATAATGTTCGGCCGCGATACCACAGCGATGTTGACACGAAATTTCCTTCAAAACGCTGGAATCAACGTCATGGACTGGCCATCGAGGTCCCCTGACCTTAATCCAATAGAGCACGTTTGGGATGTACTTGGGAGAAGGCTTCGTGGTCTTAGGAACCAACCTCAGAATTTGCAGGAACTTGGCGCTGCCTTGCAAGAGCAATGGCGCAGAATCCCCAAGCACGTGTTCACAAGCATCAGGCAGTCGATGAGCAGACGGTGTTTGGCAGTGGTGAATGCGGGGGGGCGGCCATACACGATATTGAACTGAGACATTTCGCATTTTTATTCTTGTGACTTGACATTCTGTATACCCATGTTTTGGAACGGCGGTGTAGCCTAATGGAACTGATT